CAAACGTCATCACCACTTGTGCTTTACCCCGCGACTTACGCCTATTCCATACTGCAGTAAAAAAGGACTCACTACAAATAGCCAAAACCCAACCAACCCCAAATTTGTAAAGCACCAATATTTTTCTTGATGATATGATATAAATCGTATAGATTTACTGAACAAACAAAAATAAAAATAACTAAATAAAACACTTACCGTACCACCAAAAGAAAGCATAAAAACAAAATAAATTAAAATTCTAATAGAAACATAAAAATATTAATCAATTTATTTTAAAAAATAAAACCAAATAGGTATTATTAGCATAAACAAGCCCAAGATAATCAGAAAGCAATATACCTCATTAAAAATTTTTTTAATAAACAAAACAATACCCTTAAATAAACTCTAAAGCTGTCATAGATACCTCATTCGAAATATGATAACCAATCAAAAGTGTAGGAAAATGAGTAACCCGCGAAACCAAAAATCATAACAATAATAGAATAATATATGATAGCGAAAAAGAACGTTGCACAAAAACCTTAAAAATGTAAGCGACATATGTGTAAACATAAAATGAAGGATATAAAAATATTCTCTGAATAATAATAAAGATAAAAATTGTGCATGTGAAAATTAAAACAAAGCTGAGTAATGAATGCAAGATAATATAACATGAAAGTTTCTGTAAACAGTAATAATATGAAAATCAGGAGATAAGTAAAATATTAATAAATATAGCAATAAGACTAAGTAAATATAGTAATAAAACCAGATAATTTTAAGCCAAATGAGTGGTTAAAAAATTAGTTGTGGGTATTATAACAATGATATAAATCGTGATATAAAAACGATGTAGAAAGCGGGAAAAAAAATTGTTAAAAAGTGAAGTTTTCTCTACGGTCCGAACTAAAAGAAACTTTGAAACCATATCTAAATCAAAATTTCCGAAAAATAAAGTTTTCTCTACGGTCCGGTCTACAATTTTTGCTGATCCTAGAGAAAAATATTTTATCAAGGATACCTGTAATAACAGGTAAGAGACAATAGAAAACTAGTGAAGATAATTTAAAGTCAAAAACAGCATTGAGACAGCAAACACAGTATTAAAGTTTGTGGATCCGAACTGAATGATAGACACCATTAAACGATAAACTTAATGGTAAAATAGATGCATATAATATAAATTACTAGATGCTAGATTAATAAAGTAACAAACAATTTAATTTTTAATAATAAAACCAAACCAACAACGAAAATTTATACATCAACAAAGCATATCAGAAGTTGAATATATATATATATATATATATATATATATATATATATATATATATATATATATATATATATATATATATATATATATATATATATATATATATATATATATATATATATATATATTACTCTCATAGTTTGAATTTCTTTTTTGTTTATACTCTTTTCATTAGGTTCACATGAAGCAGAAACTGTTGGAAACGGAATATAAACCATATATTTTACTAAGAATGAGGAGTTTTTAAACCTTATATGGCTTTATTTGAGTGCCAAAGTGTATTGTAAAGTTTAAAACTAATCATTATTTATTGTTGGATTTAAGATATAGATTTTGTTTTAATGATTTCCCTCAAACAGGAGGCATGCAGTGGGAATTTCTTAAAGGTATCCTTTGTATATCAGAAACGATCAGAGGTCCTGTGCTGATCTTTATAATGTTTTTAGAAATGATCAATTTTTATGAATAATAGCACAATAACTGTTTTTAAAAGTTTTGTTCTAAATGAATTTTAAATGTCTTTTCAACGTCTTCTTAACATTCCTATGAAAATAATATTTAAAAGACGTTTATAAAACGTTTAATAAACCTTTAGAATGTAACTTTGAAAAACAAAGGCTTGTAGGGTATGAAGTGTTTCCTCTGTAGATTATATTTTTAAATCTTGTTTGTTTGATTTAAATTTGTCAATATATTATGATTCTTTATTTATAAATGATAAAATTTTATCATATTTAATTTGTAGATAAAAGGTTTGTTGCAGTAAGTTTAATTTTCCATTTTTAAAATAACTTCATATTTTGACTAAATGTTAAGCTATTTAAAAAAAGCGTAGTTTAAATTGTGCCTATCCATTTGCTTTTCTTGAATAAATTTTAGTAGAGAAAACAAATAGATAAACACAGTTTAAATCACGTTCTGTTTTTTTTAATTTTGAAGGTTGTTAAACTTATTTTAAATTTTCTATATAAAGCAATAAATATGTTTTTATTTTTTTTTTTGTATGATAAACTAAAGGCTTAGTTGAACAATTATTTCTATAATGCAAACAATATGACTTGTATAATTGTATAAAAATGACTCTATTCTTGCATAGTTTTCTACTTTAAACATGACATGTAGTGAAAATATAAATTTAAATCAGTTGTAAAATTAAAAATGTTAAATTTTTTTTTGATGTGTATCATTATATAGGTTAGCTGCAGCTATGTTTACATAGAGCTAGTTTAAATGCTTTAAAATTTGCAATTTGAAAAGACACGTGGCATGCATATCACACTGTAAGTTTCATCAGTTGTAAAATAAATCAGTTGTAAAATGTTTACTTGCATTTTTTTATGGGTATTTATTTAGGCTAGTTACAGTTTATATATGGATTGTTATAATTTGTATATTTGAGTTTGTATATGCTTTCATAATTTGTTATTTTTGACACGTGTCATGCAAGATCACTCTGTAAGTTTAAATTAATTTTTTTTTTTTTTTACTTGTAATTTTTTTATGTTAGTTACAACTAAGTTCATATATTGCTTGTTTATATTTGAATAGAACTTGCTACTTTAGACATGTGGCATTTAGGAAAAAGGTATCAAATTTAAATTCTAATATTAATACTTTTAACACGTTTGTTATTATTAAATAAAAAGCTGAGAGGCTTTTTAAATTTAATTTCTAATATTATTACTTTTAATGTGTTTAATAATATTAAATAAAAAGGTGAGAGAAATTTTAGAATCTTTACCTTAGCAGGTAAGGTTATGTTTTATAGCGCATTTAATTTTTGTTTAATACATTGAAATGTAGAACTAATAAAATAACTTAATTTTTATTAGCAGTTTAGAAATAAAGAACTAGCAACAAATGTTTGTTACAGGGTTATTAGAAAAAAGTTATTTCTATTTTGTAGTATGATATATCATTTATAATCAATAATTTCTTTATTGTGTTTTAAGGTTTGTTTATCTTTATATAAATTACAACAGGTTACTGGAATTGAAATGTGCACATACATGAATTTACAACAGTTTTAAAAATTGAAAACTAGTATAGTAACATTTGTATACATGTCTGTGTTTTTTATATAAATGTTTTTTGACCTTGAATATAATAACTGTATTAATAAAGTATATATTAAAAAACTTTTTATAGTTTTATTTAAATTTTAAAAATTTTTTTGCAATTGAAAGTTTCTATATTGAATTAAATTATTATATATATTTAACTGGTTTTCAATTTAAAAGTTAAAACGTTGTTAAAGCTTGCTAAAAAATTTCTTCCGATGATGTTAGTTAGTATAAGTATTACTGCTTTATTAGATGTTGAATATCATAATAAGACAATCTTTATATTTAAAATTACTATTTTGTAATTTTAAAAAAGGGAATAATATGTTATTCAATATGATGACGTAGTAAACTCTTTATTTTGCCAAAAAATGCAAAAGCCGCCGAGCATTAATTCCCTTACTTTAACGAATTGTTTGTTGCACGAGCGGAATAAATCCTTAATTTCAACGGACTAATATTGAAGAACTTGAATCTGTTAAATTTTTTATCCGTCAACATAACGGTTAAACCCGTTGGTGCAAAAGCGACAGATGCAGTTCGTTGTATATAACGGATTTTTTCTTAGAATGTTAGATTGCAAAAAGTCCATCTTCACCGATACACATAACATAGATAAACCTCCGATAACAAATTCAGACAAATCTTTTAAATATTAAAATTTGTTTCAAAAAGGATAATGCATTATTTCAATCTAAATATATTATTAAAAAATCTTCCTACAACCTCATTGAACTGTGTTCAAAAACGCAGCTCTTTACGTTTGAACGTAATTTTTTCAAACAAAACAAAAAACTTTTATTTCTTTTTTATACTTTAATGCACCGCTTCAGATATATATTCTATTGTTACACCGCGCGGACTTTTTCTACCAAGATACTCCTTGAGTTTAAACCTGATTATGTAAATTTTAATCCAAGTGAAATGTTTTTTCAAAGTAGCATATATATTTGTCAGTACAGTAAACAACATCTTTTTCAATATCAATTTTACCAGAAACTTGAACTCCTATCTAATTTAGATTCTAGAACCCCAAAGGTCTGTAACCTCGTCAATAATGGGTTTTAGAGAACAGGTACTGAAACTCCTATTGAAAAACCTTAACAATTAATCTCAAATCTCATGTTCATCAACCAAAATGAAACTCAAACAAAACAACAATTTTTTCGATAAAAAGAGATGACCCTATAATGAAAGTGTTATATTATTTCTGTGACACCCCCACAAGTAAAATACCGCAGCTATTTAAAAAAAATGATTTTAATATAGTATATACATGCGTGCTAAAGTTTTGTGTATCATCAGTATAATCTGTTTGGTTTTTACTATTATATACAATGAAAAAAAATTTTTAATTTGTTTTGGATTGGTATTTTGATTTTAATTTTACTATTATATACTGTGCTATTTTTTTTTTTTTTTTTTTTTTTTTTTTGAATATAAATACTTTTACAGTTATTATTATACTTTTGACTCCTGTTTGTAAATGTTGTTTGCACTAATGAGTTAGAATTTAATTGAGGAAGTAATTTTTTTTTTAAACATTTTATTTTCATTTATTTAAAAACATATATCTTGTCATTTTTTGGGAGTATTAATTAAGCATCATTTTTGCAAATATTTTAAACCAAATTTTAACTAAATTAGAAAAGAAAATACTTTAAAAAACTTACGAAATGTTCCACGAATATTAAAAAAAATTAGTAACCAAATTTTATGCTTAAAAAAATTTCGAATCATGAAGTTCATTTATACTTTAGCGAACTTCCTTTTCTTTACGTTTAGGTTTTTTTTTTGCAGTACGTCTTCAATAGCAAATCATATATGTATTTAAATGTATATACATTTTTATATACATATTTTTAAAAAAACTTGCGATTTAAAATGTATGAAAATTTTCAATTATTCATATTTTAAAACTAAGACCATTGAAAAGCCACTTGTACTTTTTAATGTACAACTTCTCTGGTTTTGCAATTTTATGGAAACAGGTTATTATTTCATCGCTTACATGTGTATAAGTATATATTCAAAGCTTTATTGCTGTGGTAACACATTTCACTTATTTGAATGCCTTTTCATATTTTGTGTTAATAAGTATTAACAGTGTAAATCTTATTAAAATAATCAAATTATTTACAATTTAAAGTTTTAAACGATAAAGTTTGAAGATTTATTCAATAAATTCAAATACTTAAGCATAGTTATTAGGCTTTAAGTATTTATTTTTATACAGGTAAGTGATAAAATACGTACACCCCGGTAGAAGTAGGTTCAAACCAAAAAGAATGTCCTAGGGTCATGTGATACTTTTTCAATCCGTACTGACTTCTACTTTCAGAAAATAACACCTTTGAAATTAAATTTCGAGGTCCAAGAAAAAAAAAAGACATTTTTGCAAACCGAAAAAGCCAGTATTTTTCCTTGTATAATCATTAAGTTTTTTATTCATGAATTTTTCAATGAATTTTTCGATGACTATTGCACGTTTTAAAAGCTTTAAAATATTCACAATAGACAGACAAACATTTTAATATAGGTTTTTATGTGTCAAAATTTAATAGGAACAAATGTATGATGATTTGCATTCATGTTTTTAAGAAAGAGAATTAATGTTGGTTTTTCTTCGGAAATATTCTCTGAGGGAATAGTATAGCATTCGCTAAAGAGAGTTTTTCATAAAGGTCTCCAAAGGAAATTGCTTGTGTTGCAATTTTTTAATTTTTTAGTTTACAATCATTAATCGTAATATAATAATATATAAACTTGATATCTATAAAAAGATCCAAATGATCTTGTTGTCAGAACCATATAAAATATATCATACGTGAATATATAATAAAATAAAATAAAAATGATTTAATAACTATCAACAATGTAGAATAAACAAAAAATGAAAAAAACTTTACTAACTACCCAGAGTGAAAATAATTTTAAATTTCAAAAATATTTATATATATTGGCAGTAGAAAGAATATAGTTTTTTAATTTAGTTTTAAAAACGGAAAACGAAATTGACAAATCAAAGTTTGTAACAACAATTTTGTTCCATTAGTTTATGCAAAATTGATTAAACTTTGTTCGACAAAAGAGTTCAATTAATAAATTATTATTTCGTAAAGTATATGTTTTTATAGCTTTAACGGTAAAAAGGTCTTTGAAATTGGCTGTTCATTTTTACATCGAAGCATAAAACATAAAGTATTATAGACATTGAGTTCGTAAACGTTAAATGCTTTAAATTTTTAAATAAAATATTTGAATAAGAAAAACGATTTTCAAAACATTTTAAATGGATTGCGTGTTTCTGGCGATGGTAGAGATTTCGTAACTTACTTTTAGAGGTACTTCCCCAAACATTATTTGCATAATTTATATAGCTATAAATAAATGATTAGTAGAGTTGAATTAAATTTTGTTTAGTTAGATAGTATCTGACCTTATATAGAATTCAAATACTTTTGGCCATTTTAGTAGAAATAAAGTTGATATGATGCTTCCATGTAATATTTTTTTCAATGTAAAAATATTGTGACCGACTCCTTTTTTATTTCTATTTGATCAATAAAAAGTTTAGGTAAGTTATTTGGTAAAAAACGCTTTTTTTCAAGAGGATCCATTTTGTTTTGTCAATGTTTAAAGTTAACTTGTTGCACTTAAACCAGTTGGAGATACAATTGAGTTTTTTATTCATATTTGAAAAAAGCTCATAAATGTCACTGTTTGACAGAAATAAATTAGTATTGTCCACAAAAATGATACTCACAATCCAGTGGGCACCGGACCAAAAAAGACGTCTTTTAAACGTTCAAAAGAGGTCCAAAACGTTCAAAAGACGTGTCAAACGTGTATGAGACGTTTTAAAACGTCTTTTTTACGTCTGTGCCCACTGGGAAGCTTAGAAGCTTTGTTTAAATCATTTATTTAAACTAAAAACAAAAGTGGGCATAGAATAGAACCCTGTGGAATATCACAAATTTATGTCAATTAATTTTTTATTTTGAAAATAATCTCCGTAGAAAATAAATTGTTTTCTATTTTTCAAGTAACATTTATACCATTTTATTAATTTGCCATTAATTCCGTAAAACTTGTGTTTTTTAAGTAGAATTTTGTGATCGACCGTGTTGAATCCTGTTGATACATTAATGAAAATACCTAGTGAATATTGTGATCTACCAAATGAATTAGAGATTTCACGAATGAACTGTGTAACGGCTAGTTCAGTTAAACAACTTTTTTAAAAACCGACCCAGTGGGCACCGGACCATAAAAAGACGTCTTTTGAACGTTCAAAAGACGTCCAAAACGTTCAAAAGACGTTCAAAAGACGTCCAAAACGTGTATAAGTTGTTTAAAAGATGTTTTTTTTACGTCCGTTTCCACTGGGGAATTGATTTTTATATAAAAGTTTAATTAGATTAAGGAAATTTATGTTCTACTAAATATAATTCTTACTAAAATTTTTGAGTAAAAAAAAAAAAATATAGTTGAAAGAAAAGGCGATAATTACTAATATTTGATTTTTCCCGTTTTTGTATGTAGGAGTAACTTTAGCTATCTTTAATTAGTCGGGAATACACCTTGCTGCATTGATGCCCTGAAGACTTTATATAGAATACATTTTAAGTTTTCAAAGCAATCTATGGCTATGTTGCCATTTATTTCGTCCGCACCCGTAGCTTTGTTTTTTTTGAGAGAATTGTAAGCTCTCTCAAATTCATCAAAAGATAAGTCAGAATATAAATTATCTATAAAAAGAAAAATATTCATAGGCTATAGGAAATCACTAAATTTTTTATCATAATATAATTTTTTTTGCAATTGTTAATCATTATTTTAAACGAGTGTTAGAAGTAATTGTCCAGAGGTAATTAATTTTGTAGCAATCTTTTCAATAAATTTAAAAAAGTCTATCGATATCAATAAAAATATATATACAAATCAAGTTTAACCATTAAACTTGATATTTCCTTTAATATATTTGGCAAAGTCTACATTTTGTACCACCACTACTTCAATGATGCGTAATCAGACATTAAACCACGAAAATAGCCGAAAAAAAATTTGCATTGTGCAGTTTGAGAAGGACAAAACAACTAGAGAATCAACTAGCCCAACCTGTAAAAGACTTAAAAATTATGTTATCTTAAATTTAGACTTGGCTAAGGAACACTATTCTTCTGATCTGTTCGCGCGACATAAAATTTCTTAATTATTTCAATAAGAAAATGGTTCTTTTATACCTTATTCTTATTGAAAAAGGTATAAAAGAACCAAAAGCACTTCCAGCGCTATACGAGTTTTCTGGAATAAGAACTTCTATTACTACAAGAAGTCAGACTACATGTGTGTGTGCAGTTTGCGTTATTGCAAGGAAAACGATCTACCCATGATTAGGAAAAAATTAAAAAAAAAAGAAGACGAGTAACCTCTGAATCAGTTCTGCCACCTCCCCTACCCATATCTGTATGTCAAAAATGTCTATGTATATTAGAATGCGGTTTACCTCGCTTAATGAGGCGGCCTCTGTCTAGAGGTATGTCAGTATGTATATATATATAATAATTATTTAACCTAAAACCACTTGTGCAATAATAGTTTGCATTAAAACCAATAAAATATAGTAATATGTGGGTTTGTACAAATTTTGTTAAAGAAAAAATTTATCAGGATATTAAATATATTAATATATTTGAGATGAGAGAGGTATTGAGCTTTTTTTACTTATATCCAAAAGCAAAAACTATTTGAAGTGGATGCAGGTGATTCAATAAAGTTTGCTAACTTAGGGCCTAAATTTTTAATATCAAAATTCCAAAGAAAACAGAGTTAAAAACCCTTTTTTCTGAAAACTAGGTGCCAACTAGTGAAGTCACAATATTCAAAAATGTACTAGGGTTAAGTGATTCCCAAACAGAAACTGCTTGTAGTGTTCTTAGGAGCTGGACTTCAAATCAACAAGCAAACAAAATATTTAGTCTACTGTACAAAGTTGTCTGAGCTAATAAATCAAGTAGTGGAAAAAAGAGATATATAACCAGATTTTGTTGCAAATATAAGATTATATTTGCAAAGATTGGAACAGATGGGGGAAGAGGATTTCTCAAGGTTTGTTTAAATATTCTTGATTGTAAAATGAATGAACCTAAAACCAAGTTCTCATACAGAGAATAAAGCAGGAAAAGTTCAAAGACGAAGGAGTTAAGAAACTTAATAATCTGGCCATTGTTGAAGATGTTAAAGAGAATCGCCAAAACACTATGGAAATCATAGAAACATTGTGAATTGGGACTAAGAAGTATTTTTTAGTATTTGCCTTAAAGCTTGCAAATGTTTATTTCGGAATTGAAGCTGCTTCTTCTACTAACCCCGCAGTTGGTGTGAATTGTCCAAGCAAGACATGCATGATTTCACAACCTGTGGCTGCATAAGGTAATTAGGAATTAGTATGGCATTATACATTTTTTTTTACTGTCAAAACATTGTTCTAGAAATTTATTTTTGAGGATTTTAGTCTACTTTTTTTCCAGAACACCTGGTATGAGTAGAGATAATGCAAAGAATTACAAAAAAGCTTGTGAGAATCACAGAAAAAAAGTCCGAACACCTTTGATAGACCTACCAGATGATACATCTGTTGCAGAAGTTCTTTCTCCAATGGAGCTTCATTTATTTTCTGGAAACACAAACTGTTTGTATAATATAGGTGAAAAAAAACTTGTAAAAAAGAAACAGAAAATTTTCATGGATATGTGGAATAAATCAATTTGATTTTTTAGACCAAGATTACGCAGCGGTCAGTTCAAAGAAGGATAGTGTTCAAAGCTATTGGA